AAAGCTCTTGAGTGACTTGCAATTGATTTAAGTTTTTTGATTGTTTTTGTTTTGTTCAGTACTGGGGATCAAACACAGGGAATCTCTACCCCTAAGTTACATCCTCAACTCTTTTTATGTTGAGAGAGGGCCTCACTAAGTTGCCCAGGCAAGGGGTGAATTTGTGATTCTCCTCTCTCAGCCTCCCCAAGGATGGGAGGTGTGCACCACCCTGCCTGACTGATCAACAGATACTGGAGCAAGGGAGTCAGAACGATGATCAGAAGAACTAGCAACAAACCAATGTATCCCTATATGCTGACGTGTGGAACTCCCCGAAGGTCTTCAAGGAGTTAGGGATCAAGAGTCAGGGAGCTGTGCAATGTAGTAACCCTTTAGCTACTATTACCCAAGGGCTGTAATTTGTAAATTTTGTAAAAGTTTGATCAAGAGTCAAACTTTTACAAAATCATAGGAAAGCATATGGAAGTATAAATCAGATTCATATGCCATCTGTTTTCTTAATATCGTTTCATAATATTTAGTGTTAATTTTCATTAACATTATTATTGCATTGCATCACATTAAGGTGCCATCAATGGTTAAATGCAAAAATATTGTATGTGCCATAAAAAAACTGCCAAATGAACGAGGACACATATTTTTAATAACCCTATATTTTAGCTTTAGCATGTGTGTGTGTGTGTGTGTGTGTGTGTGTGTGTGTGTGTGTTGAACTGGGGATCTAATCCAGGGATCTAATTTACCATTGGATGAATGGTAAATTTCTTTTTTTGAAGCAAGTTCTCAATAAATTGTGCAGTCTGACTCCAAACTTACAATCCTCCAGCTTCAGCCTCCCAAGCAGCTGGGCTCAAAGGCATCTACCACATCCACTCCATTTTTATCTTTAATAAGTGTTCTTATAAACATATTCAGAGACAGACATTTATCACACATAATTTTTTGCTGATAAACAAAAAAAGTTTTTAAGATAAATTTAAAACTTCATGAAATAACTGTAATTCCTGCAAATCAAATTAATAGATCTAACTCACTCCTTCAGGGACTGTACATCGTTCTATGCTCGCCTGTAATGGTAACTGTTGTTGCTTCCCCCGATGTAGTAGTTACAAAGTCTAGTTTGGGGCTAGACACATTATGACCAAATACATATTCGAGCCTCCCTTGCAGGTAGATGTGCTCTTGTGACTATTTCAAAGAGCAGCACTAGGGTTCCAACAGAGAAAGGAGCTTGAAGAAGCCTGTATCCTTATCAGCACTCTGTGGAACTAAGCCTTGAGTGCCTACTCTGGACAGCTATTATATGAAAGACTTTCAAAGTATTTTAAGCTCTTGTTATTTGGGCTGTTTCTGCTTTAAGAAACTGCACTTAGTTCAAATCCATGTCTATTTTCAGTATTTTACAACTGCAAAATACATGCATCCTTACATATGATGCATAGAGAGCCCACTCCCCATTGGGCATACATCCTCAAATTCCGGGACTTTTATTTTAATAAAACATTTCAACATGATTTCCAAATTGAGAGGTCAGTGAATTTTTCATGTAAAGATATTTTTCCCAAAAGTGTTGTTTAAAAACTGACATATCATCCACCTTCATTGATGACAAATTGATGTCAGAATGAATATCTCACTAATACATTGATTTTTATCCCATGACTATTCCTGAGGATGATCATCCTTTATTATGTTTATTAGCTTTTCTGGATTTTCTCTTCATGAGGTATTCTAACTTAGTCTGTCCAGTTACTATTTAGAGTATTAATTTTTTATAAACTTGTAAGAAACTATCATTAATAATATTAACTGGCACTGTCAGTACACATTTTACCCAGTTTACAGTTGGTTTATGACACCTATTGTCATACATTTTATGTTTTTAACATATGTAAATTTTACCTTCTAGTTTCTGAGTACTTTTTGTGGTAAATATTATATATTTATTACAATATTATATATGATATATATAATATATATATATACATTTTTTCAAAACATTCCAAAATATGCATATATGAAACTATTTATATTTATATTATAATACAGAGTTCTAAAATTCATTTTCTACATGGAGAATCAGCTCATCCATTCCTTGCAGTGATTTGATCTAATACATATATTAATTGCAATATGCGGATCTATTTCTTAGTTTCCAAAGTTTCCATAAAAGTGACACAAACTGGGAGAACCTGAGATGTCATTAGTCAGCAGTGTTCATTTGGGATGTCACACAGAATATTCTGCAAAATCATGCTGACGTTTTAAAATCAGACATGTCACATAAAATTCCAGATTTCCAGTCTCCTTGGGAAATGCAGATTACAGCCAAGCCAGAGTTTGACTTTATACTTGGCAACAGGCCACCGCAGCTGCCACCTTGGCACAGGATGTGAGCTTCCCAGCTCAAGACAGATTCCATCACTCAGAGGCCAATGCATGCACTTCCAGCCTAGTCCCTGTATCTCCGCATTGCCTGCAGGTAAACACAAGAGTTTGCACTGCTGTCTGTACAGAATCACTTGTAACAGAAGGAAAAAGAACTTAAACTCTTTGATAAATGTTAAAAGAGGAGGTGATTATTTTTGTCACTTCTCCAAGACCACGCTCACTTCACCCTCAGTTCCTGAGCAGGGGAAGACTACAGTCCTGGGAGCTTGATGCTCGGCCTCCAGAGAGGCAGGTGACCAGGAGACTCACAGGAAGTCTTCATAGGAGCTGTGAGGGAGTAGAAACAGAGTCACCTTTAGGAAAACAGGAACAGAGGATGGAGAAAAGAGAATGAGGGAAGGAGCAGATGGAAGGGGAGACTTACCTGAGTCTCCTAATCCAGAAGGTTAAGCCTAGAATGAGCATAAAGAGGAACACCAGACAGGTCACCACCACGAGGACCAAGCCTACAGAGGTGTGGCTCCCATCTGCATGGGGGAAAACAAGGTGTGTGTCAACACAGGACCCTTCCAGGTATCAAGTTCCCTGGTCTAGCGCATGTGAGGGGGCCAGGTGCTGCTTATTCCTCACCACCACCATGGATTTAGAGCATCAACTGCTATTCCTCAGAAGTTGAGACTCCCCACCTTTTCACAGGGTCTAGGCACCTGCACTACAGTTCATTTCACTATATAATAACGTAGCGTACAGGTGAAGCTGTGTAGACAGGCAGATCTGAATCTTATATCCAGCTCTTCCACCTTCTATGAGACTCTGGGTACTTAACCTAACTCAGCCTCAATTTCCTCATTTGTAAAATAGAATAATAGTAACTGCTTCAAAGGAGAGTGGTGATGCTCAGGTAAAGCAATGGATGCAGAGTGGCCACGCCCCCACGCAGGAAGCACTCAGTAAACCACAGCTCTCCTTGTTAATCTGCTTTTCATAAGTCCCTGATCCCCATTCTGCTGGGAAATGAGTTTCCCAGAATTCTGTTTTCATTTTTTATGCAGTACTGATTTTTGAACCCTAGAGTCTGGGACAAACCACTGAGCTGCATCCCTAACCCTTATCTTTTATTTTGAGACAAGGTCTCCGTAATTTGGCTAGGCTGGCCACCTACTTGGAATTCTCCTGCATCAGCCTCCCCAGCAGCTGGGAATGCAGATGAGTGCTGCCATGCCCAGCTTCCAGGGATTCATTATTTGCCAACAACTTCCAGATCTCTAAGATTATCAATCCCATTTCATCTTGTATTAAT